CTAAGGTTGTTAGAAATATAAAGAGGTAAGGGAAAAGAGATTGCAAACAATGGTTCATCTTGGTTCAACTCCACCTCTTGAGCTTACATCCAGTCCCAAGCAATTACTTGTGGTTTTTTCATTATAACACAAGCTTGAGTAGTTGCTTGCCACCTCGATATATTCACAAGTTTAGTTTAGACTCTTGTGAGCCTTTACAACAACTTACTTTACTAGTGAGCTTTTTTTCTTAAGAGAACAACATTTCTTGATTTCAAGAAAAATCTCTCCATCACCTTTATAAAAGTTGAGTATGTGAATCACTCAATTGAAACTTTCTCTAAGAGTAATGAGTACAATAAAGCTTTAATACCAAATAATAAAGATATATATGATATTGGCTCAAGAACAATGATTTTTATATAATAAGGGTAATATGATTATGAATTTCATAGCTCAATGATTTTTAAGGTTAGTCTCTTGTTCAGCTCAGTTTGGATTGCTAAATGTATAGCTTGTGGAGTGAAATACATGTTAAAGACATCAGATGACTGTTTAGAGACCTTACACAGTCATTATAGCCATTAGTGCAAAATCTTGTGAGGAACCAAGGTTGATTGAGATGTGTTTTAAAGGTTTCATAAGTGAAAATGACATATCGCGTGTGTTTTGAAAGTGCCTCACACGTATTTTGGAGTTCCACATGAATAGGTGTAAATTCTTGCTTAGGAACCTAACAAATCACACAAAAAATTGCATGTGGTAATGTCTAGAAGACAAATCACGCAAGGAAGCAAAGTGTCTTCACACATGATTTGGACCATAGAGGCTATAGAATGAAAAATAAGATTCTAGAGGTCATTTCACGCTTGTGTACAAGGTGCTTCACTCATGATTTTGCTTACAGAGGCTATTTAGTGCAAAACAAGGCTTTTGGGTGCAATTTCATTCATATGTCCAAGGTGCTCTCACGCGAGATTTGAACACTAATGTTAAATCACACGTGCGTCTCAGCTGTTCCCATGCATGATTTTGAGGGTTCACTACACATAACTTTATGATGTCTTAAGCTCTTCTTGAATTATTCTTCTCTTTATCTTTATGTTCTTCAATCATGAGTGTAGCATGCAAATGATGACTTCAACTTTGTTCCTCTTCATGCTTACTTTCATCTTTACTTTGGACAACCTTAAATGCTATATCATGAATAAAATGATTAGTCCAAGTATCAATATGCATATATCCAAGTTGTGAGAGTTAATACTATGAACACTCTTGGATATATAATCAATTTAAGATAAGAAAAAATATGATAGCATAAAATAATTTTGATGCACAGAAATTATTTTTTCAAATCTAATGTAATATGAAACAATATAAATAAAAATATTTTAAAGCACTTGTTCTATATTCATGGTTAACTACTCTTTATATATGAAAATAATTAGGCATAAATATAGTTGACTCATCTATATTTGATATCATCATAACTTAAGCTAAACATAATGTCACAAGCCATTACGTCTAACAGTTGAGAGTAAAAGTGTCTATATATGTGTGGGAGCCCTTACACATTATCAATTTAATTTTTTATTTCTGTACACCAAATTTTGGATTCATCACTGATAAGTCATATATTTTGCACACTTTTCTTTTACATTTGTGACCATATTTTATTAGTTTAGACCCTTATATGCATGATTTTAGCATTGAATTTGATCATAGGCTAATTTGCATTGAGTTTTGGCATTAAGGGTATTTTGATCATTTTGTACATTTTATTGAAATTAATTGTTTTTAATATGAAATTTTAATTCTTTGACACATTTTATAACTTGAGAAATTTTTATTCTCATTTTTTAAAATTTTATTTGGTTCAATTGCATTGGATTAATTTAGTTTTTGTTACTTTGTGTTTTTAAAAAAAATTAATGGGCCAATTTGGTAATTTTTTTATTTTAAATTAGTTTTTTTGACTTTTCAGCAAACAGGAAAATGCAAAAACGGAAAAACGGAGAAGGCGTGACTCTTCTTCCGTGGTCGCGGAGCTGGGGAAAAAAAAAATGGTCATCTCCTCTGGTTCACAGCTCCACACGGACAACTCTCTGGGTTCAGAGATGATCGCCCATCTTCATCCAAGTCTGAATTTGGCCAATTACACGCACAGGTTTGCTCACTTTCCTTTGAGGTTTCAGAGCATCACAGGCGGACGCTCACGAGCTCTGAGTTGCAGAACCATTGCACATCTTCCTCTACTTCGCACGATCGCTGACTCTCCTCTGGTCGCACCACCTCACACACGCAAGAACACTCATCTTCCTTTCGGTTTTCAGTTGGCTGCACGTGGTTGCGGACTCTTATCTCGTCGCACAGATTCGCCATCACAGCTTCTCCTCTTAGTTTCCAGTTCAATCGCATGCTCGCCAAGCTCACAGTTTCCTTCAAGCGTTCAGCCATGGCAGCTTCTTGTGGACGTTTTCTACAATCAACCATTGAGGAGAACGAAATGAGTAGCTGAATCTTCTCTAGAGTTCTTCAAGGGAGATGAGATTTTCACTTGAGTTTTCTTAATTCCATTTCATTTCGGTTTGCTGTAACCCACGTCTAATTGTTCTAATTTTCTTGTCACCATTAGCTTGGTGATTCAATTCTAATTAGATTGAATTCTCTAGTTGATTTCACTCCTTTGAGAGACTTAGATGTTTTGAATTCACTCTTAAATTGGATGATGTACACTAAATGTTTGAATTTATGCTTCCATAGCTATTGTTGTGTAATGTTATTCTGTTCAATCCTTGTAGTGATGTTTAAATTAGTTAGCTTCTGTTTAAGTCTTAAGTTGAAGTCAATTGCTTAATTTTTGATTGGTTTTAAGTGTTAGAACATAGTCAAGGCAAGGCAATGTCTAATTTTGAGTCAAGTCATTGTTTGATATAATTTTCATAGGGATTATATCTTAGTCTAAGCCACAATCACCTAATTCTAATAGTAATTAGAAATTTTACATAATGTTAAATGAGTTGCAAGAACCGAATGAATTAAATTTAGGATTCTATAATGGTAAAAGTGAATTTAAATCTTGAAAAAGTCACTTGTTTACTTGGTTAAGTCAATTTCATCTCTCTTTACATTTTTCTATAAAATTCAAAAATCATAAACACTTTAAACCTTAGTTTTGATTTTCAAAACAACATTGTTTTTAACTTGTGAAAATTATTTATGAATTTTCTTTGGTTATTTAAGCTTGCTTTCTTGGGATTTAATGATCTAGGGTATACTCAGCTATATTTTATTTTCTTTAAAAAATTTGATACAATTTAGGGCTTTTCAATTACTTAGAGGATTGAATTGATATGTTGAAAAAGGTATCAAGGGTGGGACTTCAATTTAATTTTGTTGGTAAACAATGTGTACCTAGAAATAGTAGTGTGTGGATGTCTCAATTAATTTCTCAGAGACATTTAATCGAATAACTTGTGTGCATCCATTTAATGGCATGTGAAGCAAGCAAAAAAAAATCAACATGCATCTATTAAGCACCCAGCTATTAAGAAAATAATCAATGCAAAGCAAGCAATCTAATATAGGTATCAATTACAAACTAGTAGCTACCATATTCATCAATTTGAACTTCAAACAATTTGAAAAAAAAGTGAGAATCTATAGCTTAAATGCACTTGAGAATGGCTTTGGTCTGCAAAACAAAATCCAAATCAATGTGCTCGAATGGATTCCACCAAACTAAAATAGGGAATGCCCTTAGGAGAGTAAAAAGCAGGCTCTGATTCCTTGTGAAGCAAGTGCTTGCTCCATTGGGAAAGCAACACCTTTGGGAGAACGATGTGGTGCTTGAAGAAGCTAGGACATGAAGAATATTGGGATTACATTTCAAAAGACAATGCTTCGAAGGGAGATGAAATTGCAGAGATTTAGTGTAGAGAAGAAATTTCAAAGAGAGTTTGGGTGATTTGGGTGTTTCTTGTTATGTCTCAAGCTTCAATGAGCTTGCGCGATATATGTCTGATTTAAAATTACATAAATTTAACGATTGTATGTTTAACCATTACAATTTTTATTATAAATTTAACAGATGTATATTTAACCATTAAACTTTTTATTCTTGTATTTAGCAGTTGTATCATACAATTATCAAACTTATGAAAAGAATACTCTAAAAATAAAAAATTTCAAATATTATAATATAAGTTTAATGGTTTTATTAATAACCATCAAATATGTGTAACTATATATTTAACGGTTAATAGTTTAATAATCAAATATTCTCTTCTCCTTTCTCTGCATCCTCAAATTCAAAGTTTTTACTTACAATCGTAAAATATATAAGCATCAAATATTTTAAAATCTATAGTAGTGACCTAGAATTTGTTTCGTTTCCAATGAAGCAGTGGAGTCTCATATCATGAATTCTTTTTAACAGGACTTCCGAATCGATTAGGTTTACAAATTTGCATGGAAATGGAATAGTAGGAAGGATCAGAACCAGATACCCGTGACTTGTACATCATTTGCCAGCTCGGTTGTGCCGAGAATAAACTACCTTCTCTTGACTCGGTCGGTCGGTCCGTCCGTCCGTCCGTCCTCTGCCTAATTCAATCAGTATCCTATTCCGTAATCAACGCATTGCTATCCACTGGGTTTAAATAGAGTAACTAGAAAGCTGATGCCAGTTTAAGACCATAGTAAGCCCCTCTAAGCCCATTGCTCGGATTTTTGGGCTCAAGAAAGCCCATTTGAGGCCCAATTCCATGTCAAGGAAGCACTTCGTCATCCGATCCACTCGACCCAAAAACAATCACGTCCACAGTGTCGTCCGACGTACGCGTCCCTCGTTTCTTCCCCTTTCGGCCAATGCACTAGATTCACTACACTGTTCCTTTAAAAATCATTTGAGTCCCAGGTATCAAAGCATCAAACAGCCTAAGAAGTAAATTTTATTATAATATAATTTTGTTATATAGGTTTTATACATGGCAAATTATTAGCCAACGTAATGGTGCGGATAGAGGGGGAAAAAGGAGCTTTATTGAAAACATCATGGTCATGCATGTTTGAGAAGTGGGCTCATACATTTAGCTCTTCCCTTCAGCACAGATGATATAATTAGATATAGCATACTTATTATGCGAGGTACATTAATGGTTTGAATGCAGATAAAGAAGAAATAGATTCAATGGCGTTGCCCAGGGCCCACGATGCATCCAAGTAGGAACCTTCATATTCTATCTGGTTCACGACCGTCACCACTTCCCATGGATCCAGACCTGCCAAGCCAACCGTAGAAAACATGTCATCGTTAACTAATCATTTTCTAGATACAAATTAAACAAAAATCAATAGTATGAACTCGCTGAAGCGTACCAAATCCATCGACCAGCAAGGTGTACTGGTATACAAGATCCATGCACGTATATGCCAGCACGTCCTCGTCTATCAGTGGGAAAGTAGTATTGGCCTCGTCGTATGTTGTCTTGCAAGCAAGCTCTGCTGTTATCTTGTAATCTATTAGACGAACCTCGCTGCTCGTTTTGTTCGGGTCTGCAAAACCTGCCTACACACACACACATTCAGATTTATTAGTATTAATGATAAACCCCGGGGGTTGGGGGTGGGGGGAGGAGATAATTGCGAATGAATGAAGCAAGGTGAAAATGGTGTGGCATCAAACAATAATACCTGAACGGCGAGGTAATAGAAGGAAGTGGCGAGGTAAAGCTGTTTCTGGCCTGGTCCGCCTCCACCGTTCCAAACGCCCCCAAATGTGCAGTTCTTGTGTGCACACGTGGTGTTAAAGTCGAAAAGCTTCAGAACTGTGTTCCTGCATTCACTGAAGCTTGACCCGTTCGCCGGCGCCGACGCTCTGTACTCAACATCTTCGTATTCGTAGGTCCCTTAATTCCCATTTCAGATAACCGCCAAATTCAATCAGAGTCCATCAGTTGCTGCATCTGCTTTCTTCATCAGACATATATGGCGTAATTACTTACCATTGAAGCCGGTTAAAATACAAGGGTTGTCAGAATCACCGGTCAGATTTAAGATCTCTGCACGGGATGCTTCTTTACCGAAGTTCAAGTAACTGGTGGATGAAATACGCAGAACAGTGCAAACTAAAGCTCAGTTAATCGGAAGAGTACTGTTGCTAATCAATCATGAATCAATAATTACAGAAGTAGTCAGTTCATAATAATCCGGCGACTCTGGGGCGGAGAGACCTGTGAACGTAGATGTGATACAAGGATCCGCCGAGGTAAATCTTAGTGACGTAAGCGTCTCCATTAGGGGCATTAGAGGGAGCATTGGCAGCCACATCCTCTGAGATGGCATAAGCCATCTGAACCGATCCTCCTCCCAGATCTGCCACTCCTATCGTGTTTGGATACTCTTCGCCCAGCTTATTCAGCAGATAGTTCACCGTCACCTGTTCAAATTATGATCCTTTCCCAATTCATATTTTTAACATATAATTCAAACGAAAGTGTTCTTATTTGTAAAAATGCTCTGTTCAACCGGAGTCCACATTGAGATGTTTACCTCAGCTAGGTACGCGTGTGTGTGTGTGTGTATCTGGATGATTTCCAGGTTTGTAAAGAATTAAGGCCACTTTACTTTACCCATAGATAATATCCTTCTTGGTTTCCACTGAGAATGGCTATCGCGTCATCTGACTCCACCTCGAATGAGGTATTGCTCTTCACGACATCCCTCACCTTGGGAAACATATGACAAGGGGAAATTCAATTAAAGGCAATTAATTATTATTAAATAAAAATGTTGAAAGCGTGAACGGATATGTCGTTGAAGCTGCGCCTGAATATTTTAGCATAAACGACAAAACGTTGTAGTCACGCCTCCAATCATGCATCCATGTAATTATTTCATTCGGCATTCATTCTTGATTAATGATTTCTATGAGGTGCCCCATGTAATTGTTGTACTGTCCACCACTTAAAAGCCCAGTTGTTTCCTGCCTACAAACGACGTTTGAAATCGTTGGCCCATATTAAAAAATTTATGCATATGATAATGATATGCTCATTTGCATAAATTTTTTAAGTACTCCCTCCAATCCTAATGACCCATAAAAATCAAGTAGTAAGGATAAATTTTTTTATTCAAAATAAATATTAGTACTCTTTTTTTAGGAAAAGAAATATAATTTTAAATGTTTTTTAAACAACATTAGAGGTGAAAAATTGTTAAAATTGGTTAATAAAGCACAAGAAATAAAACATAAAATTATAATGACGCGTCAAATAAAACTATTTCAATATGAATAAAAATTGTATAGGTATTAACATTATGCTTTTTTATCTTAATTAAGTTAAACATACATTTTTTGGGCTTGTTTAACCTATTCAAAATCACCACCGTAATGAAAAGAAAATTTCAGCTTATTTTGATAAATTATTTAAATTTTTTTAAAAAATAATCACTTTTGTCACGAGTCAATTGAAGCGCTAAACAACGGATTTGATCTCCTTTTTTTGGCTAACAACACTGGATTTAATCTTAAACAAGCATTGCGGCGAGTTCAATGAAGGATAGGCAGCTCGGAGAGAGAGCTGAGAGGGAGGAGTGAGAGTTACGTACGGCTTGCAAGATGAGTCCAGAAGTATTGGTGTCTAAAGATCTCAAACCCGCAGTGGCCTGCACGAGCAAAGCAGATATATGGAATAACAGTGTGTCTGTGCGGTTAATTTCCTCAGGAATGAAGAAAGAAGCAAAAGAAAGAGAAGAAGAAGGTAACCCCGAGGCGGAGGGGGGTGACGGAGCGAGACTCCTCCGGAATCACACTCTCCGCTTTCGTCAGCAGCGGCATCACCGATTCTGCCGCCTCCTCCGGATTGCTCGAGTACGAACTCAGCCCCGGCGTCACCTGTGGCATTTGTTCATTTACTTACAATTAATTAATTGATTAGCCCCCATCATCACCATTCCCATGACCATGAAGATGAATTGAAAGTGGTTAACCTTGTAGTAGTACTCAAAATCGTCGCCGATGTAAAGCAGATTTAAGCTCTGGTTGAAGTGGAAGACGTGAAGGCGGGTGCCGGTGCTGCCGCTGTCAAGTATCACAGCGTAGGAGGAGTTGCTAGACGAGGTATTGCTCGTGGATTTGGGATGCAGAGCCCCCAGTTTCCGGTGTGTGAACTCATCGCCGTCGCACCACGCCGCCGTCCCCACCGCCACCACGCACCATATCCACACCCCCACTCGCCACTCCATGCTTGCTTCTCCCACTCCTTCCTCGCCTTTCCACCCCCCTTCCATTTATAACCTCCATGCCTCCAACTTGTTTGTCTCGAGGCCTCCACGCCGTAAATTTAAACTGTTTACATTTTAATTATATAAATTAATCTTTCAAAGCACTCGTCAGTTGCTCTTCTATATGATTTTTTTTTAACATAAAGTGAAAATAGAGAAAAGGATGGAAAAGTTGAACCGGCAGTTCTCTTACACAAATAAGCACACAGCAAATGGCAGTTTATTGAGTGATGGATACAAATGAATTCGCTCCAAAGTAAAAAAGGTCATTGTTGCAGTACAACGTATATTATGATGAATTTTAGGCAGTAGCCATCTATCGCTGCCACTAATTTCTCCAAATGAAGCTTCAATTGGTTGAGAATTTATTGATTGAAACCAGCCATCTCATGCTACTGCATGATTTGCTTTTTTTCATTGCGCTGCATATATAGGTATTCTTTTACAGAAAATAATTATGTTTGAATTATTGTCAAACACTAAATGTAGGTCTTTTTTTTTTTGGCGAGTATTTAAATATTGACCCATCATGTGGTGAAAAACAATCACTTTCGCTTAACTCAACTCGTTATCACTTATTAATCCTTTGTATATAGTTTCATTTTCTCCGGTGCAACGCAAATGCCTCTTCTTGTTGCATCTTATCAATTGGTTCTTGCTTCTTGTTTGGGTTAAAAAAAAATCTTAAAACTTGTGATGCATATGATGCGAATAGAGCTACCTCATCGTGAATTCAGAGAGACTGCGACCATAGAAAATAAAATAATTAAGAGTTAGGACCACTTGTAGGTTGCAGCTTCATACGTGTGATGTTTCAGGCTCAGGGACCTGAGGGACCGTTTCTTGAATGGCATGGCATTGCCATTGTCCAGTCTGTTAATTGGCTAAGTGACAAACAACAGACAACATGTGGGAAACATTGCCTTATTGTCCGCCTGCGTAATTTCTTTATCAAGCCACGCATATACTCCCTCCGGTCTCATTTATAAGTCTAATTTTAGAAGGTGTATTTGGTCCTATTTATAAGTCATGGTGCGTCTTTTTAGGTAATATTTGAAAAGTATTTCCAAAATTACCCTTCATGAAAGAGAAAAAGTAACAGGACATTACTTTTTAGATTTGTTATATAGGAGCATGTTTGGAATTTTACTTACTTTTATCCCTTATACTTTTATTGTATTGATATTGATGAGATTGATAAAAATAATTTATAAATAAGATCAGTGAGTATTTAAAACAATTCCTGAGATCGTAGGAATCTTTCTAACATATCAAAATAATAAAAATAAATTTGTGAGCAGCCCATTGAGACACGTGAAAAAACATACAGAATAAAGATGTGACACCAGGCTTCGGCGAAAAGCTGCTGTCCTTATCGATAGCATAATATCTGGTAAATTTTATATTGCCAAAGTTTACGCTTGAGGTTTACAATGAAGGGAGAATGCCTGTTAAGTCTAAGGGATTGGATTAAAAATAGTTAAGTTTGTGACAAATTTTTTTAAAATTAAATTGAAAATATTGATTCACATTATTATAAATTTAAAAATTTAAATTGTAAATAAGTGTTAAATGTAACTCTTTAATTGTAATAGAAATTTTTATTTATAATTATTTAAATTAATATTTATAATTTATTTTGTAAGAAAATTTGTACTGTCATTGATTCATTTATTTACAATCTAACTGTCGTTCTCCCGAAAATCGATGTGGTTTTGTAAGAGTTCATAAATCGAGAGCTAATACTTATTTTATTTTAAATTGTATTTTTTTGATGAGATGTATAATTTTTAAAATCAAAATAATCTTTTGCAATAGTTCTCTCATTAAAATATTTATTATTTGAAAACAAAATTAGTTATTAAAAAGTTACTATTTAAAATTTTTAATCTTTATAAAGATTAAGAGGGTTTATTAATTTAAAATATTAGTCTTAAATATTAATAAAATTTAATTTTTAAAATTTTATTTTTTAAAATACAAGGACTAATATTTGAAATGATTAAAACTATAATAATTGAATTAAAAAATTAAAATTTTGGGATCAAGTTACAACGCATCAAAATTATAAAGATTGAGTTATAATGAGTCAAAATTTAAGGATTGAAATATAATTAATCAAACCAAAATTATAGGCATCAAATAGTTAATTTTTTTCAAATTTTATTTATGTGAGAAGGATGAAATTGAATTCTTAAGGGGTATGATGAAAGTGAATTTCATGGTTTTTGATAGAATTGAGTTTCTGCATGTCAAACAAGCAAATTTTAGAGTTTCACTTCCATTTCTCGTGTCCCAGTTCCAACATTCCAAACCAGGCATCAAGGATTAAAAGTTATGATACATCTAATTATTTTTTTTCAAGACGAAAAAGAGCATTCAATTTTTCAAGATAAGAAATGTTTCCTTGCATACATATTTTTGCTAACAAATTAAAGGCCATGCCTTTAATGCCTCTTATTCTACCTCATACGGCTAATATAGATGGAAACACCTTACTATCAGCTGCTTGTGGGTGAGAAATGGTGAATTAAACAAAGTACAAGAGGCGTTCAAATTTGGGTAAAGATGAGACGGCTTCAATGGCAGTGCCGAGGGGCCAAGTCGCTTCAACAAGATAATCCTTATACTCGAGTTTCTTCACCACTGTCACTTCTTGCCATGGATCTAGCCCTGTCGCCACACAATAATTATTAATAATAATATAATATAACATTGCAGCTCTCAGCACCCAGTCATTTTAATTAATAATATTTAATTATGAAACCTACCGAACCCATCAACCAGCAAGGTATACTGGTATACAAGATCCATACACACGTATTGAAGCACATTTTCCTGGATCAATGGGAAGAAGGAATTGGCTTCCTCTAGTGTTGTCTTGCAAGCGAGCTCTGCTGCGATCTTGAAATCCACGATTCGAACCTTGCCGCTGGGCTTCTTTATATCAGCAATCCCAGCCTATGAAAGAATTGCATAATAGAATATATATAGATCCATGTGCGAATAGAATAAAATGTTATTATTATTTTGTTGAAGATTACTATACGTGTGTGTATCTATCGAGTACCTCAGTAGCTAAGTAATAGAAAGAAGTGGCAAGGTAGAGATTTTGCTGGCCGGGTCCACCTCCACCGTTCCAGATGCCACCAAACGTGCAGTTCTTCTGGGGACATGTGGCGTTCACATTGAGGGCCTTCAGAACCGTGTCTCTGCATTCACTGAAGCTCGACCCGCTGGGCATGGCGGACGCCTTGTATTCCACATCTCCGTATACATAAGACCCTTCCCAATTTCAAATATATATAAGTACAACAAAATTTAGAGGTTTCTTCATACCCCAAGGACAGATCTGTATGTATGATGATGATTATTATTATTATAAATTATAATAATATAAGGGGGGGGTTTGGTCGTAATTACTGTATAATTACCATTAAAGCCAGCTAAAATACAAGGGTTGTCAGAATCACGGGTAATATTCAAGATCTTTGCACGAGACGCTTCTTTACCATAGTGCAAGTAACTGAAAGCAACACGTTCAAATTAGGGTATCAAAACATCAAAATAATTAAAAAGTAGTGCATGTGCATCATCTGAGGTTAGATCTGTTATATGGGAAAGAGAAATCAACAAGACATATACCTGTGAACGTAGACGAAGTACTTGGTTCCCTTGAGATACATCTTTGTTATGTATGGGTCCTCTGCTTCTGGAGCGTTGGGAGCCTTTGCAGCAGTTTCCTCTGAGACGGTGTACGCCATTTGAACCGATCCACCTCCCAGATCCACCACCCCCACCGTCTCCCAATATTCTTTTGCTAAGTTGCTCAATAGATAGTTTATTGCCACCTATGTATAATATTATTCCACACACCTTTTATTTTTTAGTTGCATGTGTGTCTCTGTGTGTGTCTTCAGATACTTTTTCCTTTTCACACCACCACTTTCTTGTGGAGTATAAACACGCATGTAATACTGTTGACTGTGTGACGCCGGCACGCTTCAGCACCATTTTTCATGACTTATTACTGTATATATGTGCTTATTTAATCCTATAATTTTTCGTTTTTTGGCCATCTTATATAATCCCATAATTAAAAGCGGACACGCATAATATTTATTGCCTAGTGACCAAAATTTGAGGCGTATGATGTTACGAGTTGATGAGTTGAATTTAATTTTATACGTATTCATGAACAGATCGTTGTTTTGAACTTAATGTAGGTTTCGTGAATCATACCCATAGATAAGAGCCTTCTTGGGTTCCATCAATAACAGCAACTGCCTCGAGTTTTAAAGTGCTTCTTTCCTTGAACATATCCCTCACCTATTAATAGATATTTAAATATGAATTAAAGAGATCTGGAAAATGTTATAAGAAGAGAGACTGATATATATGGAGAAACTAAGTCAATATATATAATATTGCTCATCACCGCTTGCAGGATCAGTTCAGAAGCATTTCCTTCCAAAAGTCTCAACCCTGCGGTTGCCTGCATTTGCACATAAATATTCATCAGTTAATCCATATCAGAAACTGCCGTGCAAAATGAAAATATATTTATATACTTTTATTTTATTCCAACTCGTGAGAGAAATGATGAGAAATAGTGAGGATGTATACCCCAAGTCTGAGGGGAGTCTTGTGGCGCACCCTTTTGGGAACAACGCCTTCAGCTTCCCCTAAAAGGGGAATCAGAGATTCAGCGGCTTTTTCTGGATTCTTGGCATATGCACTCAAACCCGGTTTAACCTGCAGCCGAGAATGAAAAACACATTATATGATAGAGAAGCAACTAATATAGCAGACGCAGGTAATTAAAATATTAGAGAAAAAAATATACGATATGATGGGACATATAGGAGAGACCTTGTCGAGAAACTCAAGATCTTGGCCAATGGGAATGAGGTCTAAGGTCCGGTTGAAGTGGAAGACATGGAGACGGCTGCCGGTACTTCCGGCATCAAAGATGACAGCGTAAGAGGTTGATGTTGATTTCAGTGTCTTACGATGCAGTTGCGACTGGGAC